ACGAATCGTCTCTGTCCGCTTGACCTTTGCTATTACCGCTGGCAACAGAACTGGTGGTGGAAAGGCGTACACGTCCAGACCCTCCCACGACAAGGACATGGCGTCGACCGCCCATGCCGCTGGATCTGGAATCGGAGACACGTACAACGGCAGCTGTGTGTTGAAGCGAGTCGCAAACAGGTCGATCAGAGGGCGGCCGTGACTGTGACAAAGAAGTTTGAACGCTTCTGGATGTAGCATCCACTCTGTTGGAGACGGTTTGCCCGGCCTTGAGACAGCGTCTGCCAAAACGTTCTTGCACCCTGGGATGTGTCGGGCTCTGGCGCTGATGCCATTGTCGTCCAGGAGACTGGCCAGCTGGAACGTCTGCTCCAACAACTGTTTGGACCTGGTCGCTTTCCCTGATTGTGAATCAACCACACCACCGTGGGGAATTGTCCGGCGCTATCAGGAGCCTGGTGTTCCGCAACAGAGGCACCCAGTGTCGAACCGCTAAAATGACTGCTTGCAGCTCCAAGTTGTTGATGTGCCATCCTAGCTCGGTGCCTGACCACAGCCCCTAGGTGGTCTGGTCGTTGAGGTGAGCACCCCAACCTTGAAGAGACGCATCTACGAACAGTTCGTGATCGTGAACAAACTCTGTCAAGGAGACTCCTGCGCAGACGTTCGACTCGACAGTCCACCAACGGAGGTAAGCGTGGAGATGCAGGGGCAAAAGGAACCTCATCTGAAGGTCATCCGCCTGGATGTAAGGCAACAGGAAGCTGTAACGGCCGGAAGCATCAAGCGACCTCTGAGCGTCAAGTCCTGGGCTGAGGTGAGGGAGACCTAAGAGGGACTGCCACTCCCCTGAGCACGGCGGCTGGGATAGACCTCGGTTGGCTTAAACTGACAATCTTTCTCCAGCGATCTAGCGGAATCCTGACAAGGTCGCAATGTGTCAGGAAGAGGCCTCCTATAAACGTCAGTTCCTGGGACGGCTCCAGGTGGGATTTGTCTATGTTGATAATCCATCCCAGTTGCTGCAAGAGATGAATGGCAAAGTGCATCTGTTTGCGAAGCAACTGAGGGTCGAGGTGGTTCATGAGACAGTCATCTATATAAGGGTCGAAGTCGATGCCCCTGAGATGGAGGAACCGGTTGATCGGCGAGGTAATCCGAGTAAAAAGCCACGGGGCCGTGGAAATTCCAAATGGAAGCACTTTCCACTGGTAGTGGGACCCGTTGAAAAAAAACCTCAGGTACTTTCTGTGACGGTGGTAAATGGGCACATGCAGGTAGGCATCCTGAAGGTCGAGGCTGGCCAACCAGACCCTGGGCGCAAGCTTGGCTCGTAGCTGTTCCAGGGACACCATGCGGAAGTGAGGCGGTTCCGAAAGATAAAGGTGGTTGAAAACTGCCATGTTGTGAATCATGCGTAGTTTCCCTGAGTCCTTCTTGGGAACCAGGAAGATTGGTGAGTAGAACCCCGGGGACTGTCGGGGGTCTAGCACTGTCTCTATAGCTTGTTTGCGTAACAGAGTGTGGATGCTGTCTGCTAGCAGTAACTGTTGGTCTGGAGCATACACGCGACTGGGGCGTTGAAGTCAGAGAAGCGGCGACACGCGATTGGCAGCTTGTAACCGGTCCTGAGAATGTTGGTGATAAACGGGTCTTCCAGGATTGTCCAATTGGGCCAGAAGATCCCCAGTCTCCCGCCTACTGGAGTAGGATCGAACCGGCACGACTGGGGGCGGGAGGTCCCAGTCGTGTTGGGTCGCAACTTCAGCGACCGGCGTAAGGGCGCCTCCCCTACCCTGCCGGGCGTCGTCGGGGGTCCCGGGACGATCCTGCTGACGGCGCGCTGAAAAACAGGTTCGGATCTGCCACGGCCACGTCCTCTGCCAGAGGCGTCGCGGACGGAGTCTCTTCTCGGGGGCGTAACGGCGCTTCCCTCTACCCCTTGCAGATGATCTGCCACGAAGGCCAACTCAAAGCTTCAACGTAGACAAAGAAACCTCCGTATTGGTAAGCTCTGCGTGTTCCTTATACACCTCGAATGCCGTCATTAAAGAGGAAACGAGGCGCAAAAGGGGCTCTTAACAGTTTCCTTTTAAACTCTTCCTGCCAAGAACAGGGCTCCAGGAAACCCATCCGCCGAACAACCGTTGTCATGGCCAGAGCCGCCCGGAGGTGCGCCAGCAAATCATGCAACACCTTGCCCTGCCATTGAAACAGGGTGGTAAGATGTTCTAACCTTGACGTGTTGTCTTCCGTCAGATCCCAAGCAGCAGCCGAAGTTGCCGAGGCCAACGCTGATACCGGCTTCAACATCCGCTTGAGTTCTGCATCAATGGCCAACATCTTGGAGTCCTGCACTCGGTAGGATGCCTGTGGGGAAGCCGATAAGCGCTTGAGGGACTCGTCATGAGCCGCGCCTCCATCGGCAAAATCCAAACTATGAATCTTGTAGTCCCCTTTGCGTGACTTAGGAGCCTTTATCGTGGTATTGAGAGACAAAGTAGCAAAATCAGCGTCCAAAGAAGCCACAGCATCGGCCACCATCGGGTGAGGCGGGAGGAGTAACTCCGGAGAAGACCGAATAGCCTTCGGGTCGGCCGAACCTGAAGAGGGAGAAGGACAATCCGGCAGTCTGTCGGCAATCCAGTCGAACACAGCAGAGAGAGGGAGGTAGGTGCCCCCATCATCATCATCCTCTTGCAACATTTCCTCATTATAATCGGGAGAAAAATAGCGCTCCTCAGTGTCCTCCCAGGACACGGTAGGAGCAGTACATCGTTGACCGGAAGCAGCAGGCTTCGGTGGGCGCACCGATGACAACTGAGAAGCAGCACTCAAAGTAACTGTCGGGGAACGTGGACGTCGCGGCGAGCGGCGAACAGGAGGTGACCTTGAACGGGACCGACGGTATCGCCTACCACGCATCGGTGACCGTGAGCGCCTCTCCCTATCCTTGGAACGTACGGCAGAGCGAGACCTTGAGTCAGACCGACGACGGCGAAGAGAAGTATCCGAACTAAGACGAGGACTCCTAGACCGATGATGCTGCCGAGGAGACCTGGAACGAGATCGTCGAGAACGATGGGAACGCTCGGCGTCCCGACGTCGGGAACACTCTTCCATTAACTGACGTTGTAGGTTCTCCTCTCTAGACACTGTAGCCTTCCTGGGGATACGGTAGTCTGCCAAAGGCGTCGGAGTTGGCGCTGGCGCTGGCGTCGGTACAGGCGTCGGCGTCGGCATGGGCGTCGGCATAGGCGCCGGCGTCCGCATGGGCGTCGGCGTAGGCATCGACGTTGGTTGAAGCAACAAGTCAGCAACTGGAGAATCAAGTGCCACAGGCGTCGGCGCAGGGACAAAGCTAGGCAACGGCGCTGGAACGGTGCTAGCTTGGGCTCCGGCAGCTGCCGGCAAAAGGAGCGTCCGAAGCAACTTCTGAACCTCCGGATGCGACAAAGCGTCCGGGTGGGATAGGTCAACAAAGGCGTCAGACGAGCGCTTGGCTTCAGGCGTCAGCAAACGAGGCGCAGGGGTGGACGGCTGATCTATCACAGGAGAAGAGCGTCCGACCGGCGTACGAGGGGGAGAAGACCGGGAGTCCACAGAAGAAACAGGGGAAGACATTTTCCTCTTCCGTTGTGACAAGCGTTTCTTCTTAGCGCTGAGGTAGGCCTTGAAATCTGCGACGGACAGCGGAGTACAAAAGTGACAGCGCTCGTCAATGGAACAGGCAACAGTCGCACAGTCTGGGCACCAGGGGTGTGGGTCCTTGGCAGACTTCTGCACCTTGCAGATGCAACAAAACTGCCGGGTCATGCACACCAAAAGCTGTAACACACAAATGTGAAACGTAAAAAACCTAGAAACAACCCCTGCAGACGAAAAAATGGAAGCACCCCTCCCACAAGAATGGGCACGCCCAAGTAAGTGGGACAGTCGTGTAAACAACCAAGATGGCTGCCCCCACACTGAGCCGAAAAAAGCGTGAAAAAACACACAATTTAGGCAAGAAAAAAGAAGGTACACAAAAACAAGCATGAAACAGAAGGTGGAAGAACCCTAGAGGTATCAAAACACCCAAACATGCCACGTGGAAAAAAACTCGGAACGTGGGGACACACCCCAAGCCGAAGTGAAAAACATAAACACGAGGTAGCCAGGTAAGTGAAGTTACTTGTAAATTATGTTCTTCACCCACAGAGAAGAGACATAAGATAGAAAAACATACATACCAATAACTTTAATATCTGAAATCTATTAGTAAGTGTCTGAAAACTTAGCGAAACAAAAACGTCTGACAAGCAAGACGCTTGAAGTAAAAGTGATTTTGGATGGACCGCGCTTGCGCGGGAGGGGAGATCACGTCACTTCCGTTGCCTGTACACTCGTCAATACAAGAGGTGGCCGTTCTATAGAATGGCGAATCAACGACTGTCTGATCTCTTTAGCGGAGCTTGAGGTAATATGCATAAGACCTATGGTAAGGTAAGTTAAAAATATAGTATTCTTGTTAAATGATATGGTCTATTTTTAAATGTATTTTGACCTCATGCGGTGCCTCCGTTTTGCTTGATTCTTCTTCTTCATTTTCACAGGAAGATTGTCTTGCAAGACGTAAAATCGGATCGTATTGATACGGTCTAACATCCATTTCAGAAATGACATCAGGAACATCTTTTACTGCTTCAGAATCCATGGACACTGTTAAGTTGTGAGGTAAAATCAAAGAGGAAGCCATCAGCAACAGGCACATGTGACCTCATGTCACGTGATACCCTCACTGCTCATTAACTGTCGGGTGTTTCCATTATAGGCAGAAATACGAGTACGTTTTTTTGTGTTTTTATTGCTATTTTACAAACCTTTTGTTCAATTTTAATCACGGAAAGTGACTTTTAGAATATTCTTTACAATATATCAAAAGTTTTGTTTTCGTTCGTATTCTCCTTTAAGTTTACAATGTTAACATTTACATGATGATAACTGAAAGATCAACATACCTCCAGGTTTCCGTTGTCCAAGTTGCGACAGTGAAGAGCATCATCAATGTCGGTACAGCCAGGAGGATCAACGCTGCACACGTTGATGTGACGCAGATCCTGACGGTGTTTCATATCCTACATGGAAAACAGCAGCAAGTTGACATCAGGGCCAGGAGGAGACACAAGTCATGATACGGAGCGTATGATGATACAAGATATACCATGATACGGAATAATGTCACATAAAGATGGGTCACCCATACCCCCAAATATGGCTGTAAAGCTATGAACAAGCATATACTTTTGCAGTCATAATCACACAATGGATTAACATACTTCACATCATACAATGGATTAACATACTTCACATCACACAATGGATTAACATACTTCACATCACACAATGCATTAGCATACTTCACATCATACAATGGATTAACATACTTCACATCACACAATGGATTAACATACTTCACATCACACAATGCATTAACATACTTCACATCACACAATGCATTAACATACTTCACATCACACAATGGATTAACATACTTCACATAACATAATTGATTAACATACTTCACATCACACAATGCATTAACATACTTCACATCACACAATGGATTAACATGCTTCACATCACACAACGGATTAACATACTTCACATCACACAATCGATTAACATACTTCACATCACACAATGGATGAACATACTTCACATAACATAATTGATTAACATACTTCACATCACACAATGGATTAACATACTTCACATAACACAATGCATTAACATACTTCACATAACATAATTGATTAACATACTTCACATAACACAATGGATTAACATACTTCACATCACACAATGCATTAACATACTTCACATCACACAATGGATTAACATACTTCACATCACACAATGGATTAACATACTTCACATCACACAATGCATTAACATACTTCACATCACACAATGGATTAACATACTTCACATCACACAATGGATTAACCTACTTCACATCATACAATGGATTAACATACTTCACATCACACAATGGATTAACATACTTCACATCACACAATGGATTAACATACTTCACATCACACAATGCATTAACATACTTCACATCACACAATGGATTAACATACTTCACATCACACAATGCATTAACATACTTCACATCACACAATGGATTAACATACTTCACATCACACAATGGATTAACATACTTCACATCATACAATGGATTAACATACTTCACATCACACAATGGATTAACATACTTCACATCATACAATGGATTAACATACTTCACATCACACAATGGATTAACATACTTCACATCACACAATGGATTAACATACTTCACATCACACAATGCATTAACATACTTCACATCACACAATGCATTAACATACTTCACATCACACAATGGATTAACATACTTCACATCACACAATGGATTAACATACTTCACATCATACAATGGATTAACATACTTCACATCACACAATGGATTAACATACTTCACATCACACAATGCATTAGCATACTTCACATCATACAATGGATTAACATACTTCACATCACACAATGGATTAACATACTTCACATCACACAATGCATTAACATACTTCACATCACACAATGGATTAACATACTTCACATAACATAATTGATTAACATACTTCACATCACACAATGCATTAACATACTTCACATCACACAATGGATTAACATACTTCACATCACACAATGGATTAACATACTTCACATCATACAATGGATTAACATACTTCACATCACACAATGCATTAACATACTTCACATCACACAATGGATTAACATACTTCACATCACACAATGGATTAACATACTTCACATCATACAATGCATTAACATACTTCACATCACACAATGGATTAACATACTTCACATCATACAATGGATTAACATACTTCACATCACACAATGGATTAACATGCTTCACATCACACAACGGATTAACATACTTCACATCACACAATCGATTAACATACTTCACATCACACAATGGATGAACATACTTCACATAACATAATTGATTAACATGCTTCACATCACACAACGGATTAACATACTTCACATCACACAATGCATTAACATACTTCACATCACACAATGGATTAACATACTTCACATAACATAATTGATTAACATACTTCACATCACACAATGCATTAACATACTTCACATCACACAATGCATTAACATACTTCACATCACACAACGGATTTACATTCTTCACATCACACAATGCATTAACATACTTCACATCACACAATGCATTAACATACTTCACATCACACAACGGATTTACATTCTTCACATAACACAATGGATTAACATACTTCACATTACACAATGGATCTGCATGTTTTTAACGTAACACAATAGACTTACATACTCAAAGTAACACAACTGTAAAAAAAATGGGCTTGCGTCCTTCAGAAAACACAATGTACCTTCACCCTCCACACAACTCAATGGATGTTTGTCCTTCATGTAGCACAGCTTAAGACAATCTACTCACATCCTCGGAGATGCTCCAGGGCATCTTGGGCAGGAAGCTGAGCACAGTCTCGGAGAAGTTTGAATGTGGGACATCATGTTCCAGCAGGAGCACCTCGTTCTCCGTCTCCTTGTCCCCGACAGCACCCAGCTTCCTCACAAAGTGGCCCTGTACATGGAGAGTGAGTGAGTAAGTGAGTGAATTTAATTTTGAGCTGCTTTTAGAAATATTCCAACAACATCACAGTTGGGGAAACCAGAAATGGGCTTCACACATGGTACCCATGTGGGGAATCAACCCGGGGTCTCAGCGTGACAAGGGAATGCTTTAACCACGAGGCTAACCCACCACCCTGCATACTGACTAGCTAGCATCATTTTCTATCTATTATTGTATCATATGTTATTCAGCTGTCACATATCAAATGGAATTTCCTGTCAAATCGTTGGTAACAATACACAGATTTGTCATGCTTGTTTAGGTCCTATGTTACAAGTTGGCCAAGCCACAGAAATAAGATTGAAGTTCCAACCTTGCTGAATGTAGATATATGTCTCTCTCTTCAACCAACTTTCTCCTTGTATTTGGAGGTATACAAAATAAACATGGCTAATCAAAAAAGTAACTTACATAATATCATTTAGCTACTCAAGCTAGTGTCTGGCTAGCGATGTTTACATGCTGAAACCACATGCATCATTAACACATCTGTATGAGACGAATTATGTCACCTCTCATGATACACAAAAAAATGATTAAAAGATGTTTTCATATTTTACCTGTGGATACCGGGAGTTCTTTGGCCAGTTGTCAATGGCAACCACAATCCGTTGTCCAGCTAGCTGTTCAGCTTGACGGGTCTCTATACGTATCCGGGGGATACGCTTCTCTGCCGGCACAAACAGATGACGTCGACTCTGAAAAAATGACATGTGTGGTGTACCTACTACAAAGCACAAAAAGCAAGCATGTGGACTTTGAAATCATTTCTGAAATAGAATATAGTTGCAATAAAGTAGCATAACATGTTCTTCTTCATATGTTTGCTATAGTTACTTTAAAACCCTATAGCTGCAGGAACTTGCCATTCAACCAACCTATTATATCAATAAGCAGTGAGCTGAAGTATACTTTTCCCAAGTATACTTTATCCACCATAATGGGGTTTACAGGAGTGATCATGTTTTCACTCCATGATTAAAAAGCCCTAAAATCAAACACAAGAATTTAAACTTTTTAATCATTGATGAAGGGAATCAAACCCACAACCTCCTGATTTTCAGTCAGTCTAACCATGAGACTGGGGTGAGTGAGTGAGTTATTATTTAACGTCACATCGGCAATATCTCAGCCATATCGTGACGAAAACAATTTATGCAATATAAAGAGAAAACGTTTTGAAGATTAAAACCTGTCGACAATGGACAGTAAAAATACTAGAGAATCACAGATATGAATGAGACCACAGAACTGGTTGAAGATAGGTGGTTCATTAAAAGTTGCCATGTTAAGCGTAAGGAAACTCATTGGATCCGATTTTTTACAGACCGCCGCTTTATAGCTGAAATATTGCTGAGTGCGGCGTAAAACTAAACTCACTCACTCGCTGATTGGATCTGTACCTCTTTGAGCTGTGATGGTCTCAACATCCCACAGTACTGACGCCATTTTCTCTGGATAATACCCACAATCCTCCCAGTCGGTTGTCGCAGATCCTTCGGAACTTTGTTCTTCTCCTGTTTCTCCTTGAAAAGCCAGTAATTTATCATGATATATGTTGGTATATTTTCTAAATAATTTAGCAGCACATCCAACAACTCTGTCGCACTGATTCCCACCCGTTGATACCCACCCACTGATTCCCATCCCCTTGATTCCCACCCTCTGATTCCCATCCACTGATTCCCACCCCTTGATTTCTACCTACTGATTCCCACCCACTGATTCCTACCTACTGATTCCCACCTACTGTTTCCTACCCACTGATTCCCACCCACTGTTTCCTACCCACTGATTCCCACCCCTTGATTCCAACCCCTTGATTCCCACCCCTTGTTTCCCACCTACTGATTCCCACCCCTTGAGTAGTAGATATAATGATTGTCCGGGACCAAGTCCAACAAAAGCCTCTGCAAAGCCTTATTTCCCAAATAAGGCTTTGGTCGGACCCTTAGCTCTTGCTACTATTGCATCTACTACTTTTGAGCCCACGTTAATTTCCCGCCCACACGTGGCACTACCGTGACACTATGTCACGTTGACCTCGATGAAACAGTTTTTGTATCCCCTGTTCTATGTACTTTTTGTTCTCGTCCTCGCTGATAGCAGCAGACTTACGAGACTTGGATCGAATCTCTTGTTTCATTTTGTTATATTTTGTGAGTTCAGAGAGGATTGAACGAAACTCCTCCTCTGAGATCTTACTGTCAGTGAGTGCAGTGGAAATACGCTCACTTACCGTGTTCAGCTTTGCTTCAGCCAGAACTCTGATCTCGTCGTGTTTCAACTCCTTACGATGCAGTCTGTGTGATGCAAACTTAAGCACCAACCCTAACACCCCTGTCACCCCAGCTGTTATTTCAATACCTAGCACTATAGGTGCGGCCACGATGGTAGCTAACAACCCAACACCTGCCGCACATAGTCCCATGCTGGTTGCCATAAGGGCAGTATCAGTCCCGTCCACGGCATTGAAAGCTCTATGGTACTTCTTATATAGTGCTTTCCGCGTGTCGCGGTCTTGTTCTAGTTGGCGTTTTACATCACATAACTGTCTCAAGCGGAATCCGTCTACGGTTTCCAGGGTCTTCGCTACTTCCTCTACGACTGGGTACAGCCCCATCCTATAATATATATTACGAAAGATATTTTAATTGGGTTTCATTTAACAGTCGATCAACGAACTTGAGGCTTATAAGGTGTAAATAATCATGTAGGAGAATAGGTGAGAATTTAATAAGTGGCCCTACATCCACACCATCCCCAAAAGAGTAGGGGCTCATTGAGGAGGTTATAGAACCTGTTGAGGAGTCCGTTTGTATGATGATACGGTGACGTTCATTACTTGTCCTGGGACTAAAGTATACTGTCACTCCGGGTAAGAGTTGGTGTTGTTTACCAACAGAATGTCCCAGGAGATAGAATTCTATGATGAGTGTGGAGCCTGGTATAATAATCGGAACCCTTATATGCTCAGAGCAGTAATACCTTAACTCACCCCCGCGGAATGCCATTAACATATTGGGGGTGGACGTTTTTAGACTAATACTTGAATTAGACCCAGGAACGAAACACGAGGGTACGGTACCGCTATTCCTAATCTCGGAGGTCTCGTCAGTATTTTCTTTCAAGGAGATATAAGGTGAGGTGAGGGTTAAGTTGACTAACCATTCAGGTTCTTTAAAATCTGATAACGACACCCGCCTATACACGTTGTCTTTCAAGTGCAGGATGTATAAGGTGTCTTCCTCACCAGGTTGATCGAATCCCTCCGTGTCCCCTAAGTCTTTAAGCGTAGTGTTGGGGCGAAGCCAAGACATTACTATAATACTATTACGATATAATTTCCAACTGGTTTTCTGATAATAGTTCAGGGGTGCACTTCACCCCCATGAAGTGTATGTTGTTGGGTCGGAAGATCTTGGTTAGTGATATAGTGTCTTCCACGATCACGGTGACACCCTGCAGACTGGTTTTGGAGTCGACACCCACCCGCACGTAAACGTTGCAAACGTGATACTGGTGTTGTTTCCCCCACCGGAGTTTGACCCCCTTCACGATTTCGACATCATCCTGCGAAGGTTCCCCTAGGTAGACTTGGATGACCAGTGTTGAGTTCACCGGTAGACTCTCCAGGATGGTGACCACACCTTCGAATTCAGACACCAACTGCAATACCACGTTTTGCATCCCGGGTTTACTCGATAGCATGTGGGCTGACATACTGGCGAGTGGGCTGATGACTATGCTATGTCTCTGAGTCGGGATGTAAGCCACGAGCAGGGTTCCGTTGTTCACGACTTTGTTTAGGTGGTTGTCTTTGTTATCCGTGAACATGTAGGGGGAGCCGAGCCTAATATTGAGAAACCAGTCGACTTTATCGGGTAACAACACCCACTTGTCATCTTCGGTGAAGACGAGCGTATATGGCTTGTTTAGGGCGACGGTAGTGCTCTCAACATCTTTAAGTCGAACAGTTTGCCTCCGAACGATGGGTATATCATCCATTTATCATCACCGGTGTTGACTAGGGTGTACCGAGTGTTGACAACCGCTCTTGAGGTATCTACTATATCACTTAGGTTGCTAGTACCACCATTGGAGGGGACTTCAACGCGTTTGTAAATGCTGTTTTTAAGCTGCAAGGCGTACAATTTACCATCTACTCCGGGGTCGTCGAATCCGCGTGTGTCCCCGAGGTCGGAGATCCCCACATTGATGCATTTTTTCAACTTCATTCCGGGGCCTTGTGCGCTGGTCATTTTATGTGCCGCGTTATACTGAGGTATCCTATATTCACGAGATTATGATTTATATCTAACACCGATATTATCAGCTCAGGATGTTGCCCTGGGTTAACCTCTTATACTGCCGAGGTGAAAACGACTTCGGTTCTACCGTCGTTGTATTTCTCCGTTTTCACCGGTAACGGCTCTCAGTATAGTGGAAGGGTGACCCCTTGAATGTTGTCCGTTGTGCTAACCTGGCTGAGATGAATGCACAGCTCGATACGGTACTAGGTCGGGTAACTTAGTGCCTGTGGTGGTAGTCGTTGGTTTTATCTCGCCAGGCTGCATACCGAGTGTCTCGCCAATGGTCGGCCGAGCCTCAAGGAGTTTCTTCCGTTGTTGATTAACACCACTGTGCCGCTTGAGTCGTTCATCTTGAGTTCGGCTCCCAGGGGTTTGAAGACCTCGTCGCTTAGAGAACACACGCTGTAGTAGCCGCCAGTTATCTGGTTGAGAGCCACCTACGAACAGTTTATTGTTGCTAGCGTTGATGTTAGTCCATCGAGGTAGGTAGGTGATATCGCACAGTCGCGACTTCGAAGTTGACCCGGACGTATCGATCGATCGTAGGCGTCAACTGAACGGCCTCACCGCCGTTATTCCTGGAAGTGTTATGTACATGTTAGAGTATATAAACTCATTATATAATAGTTTTAAAATGTACTCCCCTGGTGTGTTTTACCCTAAACTGAACGTAGATTTCCCCACATGAAGATCGTGGTCGCTGCCGGGTTGTATTTCGGCCAGTTCATAGATGTGTTTGATAAGTATAAGTTTCGTGACTAACGCTAAGGTAGTTCACGCTTGGTTCAACAAACCGATGCAGTTCTGGCAGAATCAACTCAACTTCGCCGTGTGGTGCGCTACAACGGGTGTGGTGTGACATTGACCGACACTTTCGGCGTGGACCGCTGAGTCAGTCTGTGTTCACGCTTCACGTGTACTACCAGGTCAGGCGTATCCTCAAAGAGATCAGCGCTCGCCCCACAGGAAAAGGCGTGGAACCCAGTAAACAACCAGTACGATAGACGGGCTCTGACGAACGTATTTGCAAAGAATTCAACTAAACACGAAGACGGATTGGCGCTTGCCGGGACCGAACCACGGGTTGGGTATCCCCATCGCTCACAACATGCCCCTTGTGGAAGCCAGCGAAGTTGAAAGAATGGGATTACAAGTCGTATCATCACCTCACAACGAACGAAAGGGGATGACCGTTACATGGCATTCGACGACAGCAAAGATTACCGAGTCTGGAGGTTCGAGCAGGGGCAGCGGATGACTGGAAAAGTTCATGCTGGACACGCCGAAAAGGGTTCACTCGCGCGGGGTAATCAGGTTGAACGACTTCGATTCGAACGCGTGTGGCTGGGCTGTTGCGTGCGCAGGACGCAAACGCTGCGTCCAATATCCTCGGTAAGGGGACTGCTTTACGACGCCAGAAACAGTTCGTTGTCAACGCTGAGGATGCTATCAATGCTCCAGTTGATCTCCGAAAGCCATCAAACGCTACCAAGACGTGTTGGAATATGCCAGGGTCGAAAGTCGACTACATGTTCGACGTGGGGTTGTACATGGCTCTGAGTGATATGCAACTGAGAGTAAAAAAAGTGGTGGGCTACAACAACGAAATAGTCATAGCCACGGCGGGTCAAAAGTTGGGCGTCAACCTCGATGTCAACATACCCCACGTCCCACCACCCACGACCGGTGAAACGGGTATAGTGGCACCACCCCCGGAGCCTAGCAACCACGAGATGATGCTACCCAGGATGCCGGGCAGGGCTTCGGCGGCCTTACCAGCCAGTTTAGCCAGGGCCTCCCCTAGGGATTTCAGGTGTTTTTTTATCCAGTCTTTGACCCCACCTGTGGGCGTACCACTGCCGCCGGCAGGCGTGGGCCCCCCTGTCAATGACACCACCAGGGTAGATATGATGAAGCCCAATGCAGTCAAAATGCTGGCGATGGTGATGCCATGCTCTCGGAAGAGGATTCGGATCCTGTCAGCTAGCGTGGTGTCTTCATTTAGGACTCGATCTATGGTTTCCCGTACACGACTGATCTGGGATCGGAGGGCTTCCCGGTTCGAGGAAGCGGATTCCAACCGAGTCCGTCTCTCGTCTTCCAAGTTTTTTATTCTTTCCTCGATACGACGTTTCATATCATCATCCTCCGTTTCGGTGAGTTTTATTTTCTCGCGAGCGATGCGCTCGTCGACTTCGTTCAGTTTCCCCATG